CCCAGTCCATTGTGGAAGTCAAAAGTCAAATAAATTATTTCTCCAAGTTGTCATCAGTTGCGACGGTTTCGTCGAGATTTTTCTATCGCAAATCTGCTAAAGTCTCCCAAAAAAGTGTTTTTTCAAAACTGTTGTGTCTTACCAACCGCAATGATGTCGGCATTTCAGAAATACAGACAGAACTCCGAAGTTCCTATTTTAAACTAAGTTACGACCAAGCGGCGGTTTTGTCTTTGACAATTCCGTCGCTAATGCTGGTTCTCTTTAGGACGTGCGATTTTGGAAAATTTTATGTTTTTTAAAGGCAGCGTCCAGGCAGATCTGGACCTATGGGGCTTTTACGTGGAAAGTACTTTTGGGGCCCTAACTAAGGCACTGCCCAAGCGGCAGCTCAGGTAGTGCTGTAATGGCTGAGATATTCCCCTCGAAACTGGACCCCGCGACCGTGTTTCGCATGGATTCATGGCGCAAAGCGTGGATCCTGGCGCGAAACTGCCATGAATCCATGCGAATACGTTCGCGGGGGCCAGTTTCGAGGGGAATATCTCAGCCATTAGAGCACTACATACCTGAGCTGCCGCTAGGGCAGTGCCTTAGTTAGGGCCCCAAAAGTACTTTCCACGTAAAAGCCCCATAGGTCCAGATCTGCCTGGACGCTGCCTTTAACTAGCTTTCCAAAATTGAGCAGAATACCTTGTAAAAATGATTTTGAACAGAGTTATGACCTTCCGACGGTTCCGGCGGATAATACGACGCACCCTGTTTTTTCCTTATGGGCTCAGTTGTAGCTATGTTTGGGAGGTGCCGATAAAAGACGAGGAGGAAGCCCAAGAAGGGTGTCGCCAAAGCAGAACTTAAAGGCAGCGTCCGGGCAAAATTTCGCCTCTCACGTTTCTGCCATTCTAGGGCCTTTCCGTGGCCCTGATTACAGTTGTAAAGTCCAAATGTTCGAAACTCCCAAAGAACCCGGTTCTTGGGGACACTCTCTTTAAAGAGCGGACGAGTTTCGAATTGCTCGTCCCATCGTCATGCCAGCGGAACGAGCTGCAACTGAACGGATGCAGTTGCATTGCAGTGTGCAGTGCAACTGCAGTGCAACTGCAATGCAACCGCATATGCGTAAGCACTCGCCCTCAGGGGTGGTTTGTGATACGATTGGCGGCTTGTGATAGGTATCACAGGCCCGTATCTCCTTTTAGAGGGCACGTCAAAGGATTGGACCAACGCAGATCGGATACTTATGGGCCTCTCTTTACAACTATGTGCTAATCTGGGTGGATGGATCTTGCCTGGACGCTGCCTTTAACATAGATAAACAACAAGTCATACATCGATATGTAGAAAAGAGTTAGGCAGACTATCAGATCTCGGTATATGGTGCCTTTAGAGACAGAGTGAAGCGGGAATTTTTTTGCAAGGTCTGCAGAAAGAACACTTCCCAAACACTTGTCAATGTCATTCCGACCTGCTGATATTAAGTCGCCCGGAAAGTATTTTCGCTTTTCTTTGAACAAGCACCACATTTTACAGAACAAAATATATAAAAGATATTGGTAGCATTCGATGCAATTCATGCCAAACAATTTTCTTTACATTGTAGTTCAACAAACGAGCTCTCAGAAAATGATCAAAAATTGCAATCCATAGTTTCTACCAAAGCCAAGTTTCGCTATTTCTTCAAAATTTTGTACTGATCCCCGAAGAAGTCCAGATAATGGTTAAATAGAGCAGATCCTATAGAATATAAAACGATCTCTTCCTTTTCCATAGCTTACTATTCAATACTTTGAAAATCATTTTTTTGATGCTATCACATTCCATATTTGGTCAACTTAAACCTCACTATTTGATACCACATCCTCCTCTTTTGAAGAGTCGTTTTTGTTTCTGATTACTTGTTTTTGTAATGTCTTCGTGAAAAAAATGAGCAAAATTCATGTTTTTGAAGGGGCCCGAAGCTGTACCCGGAAAATTCAGAACTCAATATTTCAAATCCCAGAACGCTCATTTGTTTTGCAAAATTAGTGTTGAATTATAATCACTTTTGGAAGTATTAACAATCGAGAATTCACTGGGTTTTGACTAGTCCGCGTTGAAATGGGTCTGCTAGAATTCGATGGCGTTGTTAAAAATCTATCAAAAAATTATGGCAGATCATGGGAAAGAGAACAAAATTGTTTCGTATCCTGGGGTTTCTTCTATCTATCCGTTACTTGAACTTCTTCGGGGAATAAGTATAAAAATTCAAAAAAGATAATGAAACTTGACCTTGATAAAATCCATAGGTCATAGTTTTTGGTAATTTTCTAGCTCGTTTGTTGAACTGCAATGTAAAAAAATGGTTTGAGGAGGCATGAAAAACTGCATAGAATGCTAACAATATCCTTTATACATTTTGTTCTGCAAAATGTGGCGCTTGTTCAAAAAAGCGAAAGCTTTCGGAACGACCAAATATTCATCACTTATTATTATAATTCATTAACTATCATTATCATTAATATTATTGTTGTTATTGTTATTGTTATTTATTGTCATAATTATTATTATTTCTGGTTATTAGTTGGAATTGTTGTTGTTGATGTTTTCATCATTAGTGCTGTTTTCATCGGTGCAGCACATTTACGAGAGCTTTTCGCGATTAGTTTGACAGGGATTTTTGCTACGATAATTGACTAAGGGCTCAAGCAAAGCATGCTACCGCAGTTTAGTATCAAATCTATTCTTTGTTTCAAAATAATCGTAGAGATTGCAGACCTAAAGCCAGAAAAGTTTCTTAGCACCTTTTAGACTCAATATCCGCTATTAAACAGTATCGAATCCTTCTAGTTTGGTTTATCGAATTGGGAGGTATTTACAATATCTTCATTTCCGTGTACTTCACTCCGGTGATAGTTAATGTTTGGCAAAGTCATCTATAACTGATTTAGGTAAATATTAGGTTGGTCCGAAAGTTCTTGCGCATCATTTTCAAAAAATCATAACTTCCTTGACACTCGATGGATTTCGTTGGGATTACATGTATTCGAAAGAGGAATCCATGCTCTTTACAGCAGTACCTCCGCCATGAATTAGTCTGGAAAACTTCAAGAGTTAGAAGCAGTTGAATAAAATCAGTCAAGATTGGCATTTTTCGAGCTGGGTCACGAAAAATTCTAAAAGTATTTTTATTGGATAGAGAAAATTATTCTCATTACAATGGTACCTTTTTCATGAATTAAAACGAAAAAGATCGAGAGTTAGGAGCAAATAAACAGAATTTCTTCAGTTTTGCAATTTTTGAGCATGCTATAAAAAGCCTAAAAACGTCACAGAAAAGGCGGGAAAGTCATGAACATGGGTTTTATGACCTTCTCTTTCTAGCTGAGTGAAAATCGTGCTAATCGAGAGCAATTTTGATTTTCGTGAAAAACGCAGGCACGAAAATCCGAAAAAATCACGAAAAACAAAATTGCTCCCGATTGGCACGATTTTCGCTCATCTAGAAAGAGAATGTCACAAAACCCATATTCATGACTTTCCCGCCTTTTCTGTGACGTCTTAAGGCTTTTTTGAGCATGCTCAAAAATTGCAAAACTGAAGAAATTCTGTTTATTTGCTCCTAACTCTCGATCTTTTTCGTTTTAATTCATGAAAAAGGTACCATTGTAATGAGCATAATTTTCTCTATCAAATAAAAATAATTTCAGAATTTTTCGTGACCCAGCTCGAAAAATGCCAATCTTGACTGATTTTATTCAACTGCTTCTAACTCTCGAAGTTTTCCAGAGTAATTCATGCCGGAGGTACTGCTGTAAAGAGAATGAATTCCTCTTTCGAATACATGTAATCCCAACGAAATCCATCGAGTGTCAAGGAAGTTATGATTTTTTGAAAATGATGCGCAAGAACTTTCGGACCAACCTAATAGATTTGTGATTTATCCAGCAAAAAGCTTTAGTGATATACTTTTTTACCGGAATGAGAACTTCAATATGTAGAAGGAGAAGGAAGAAACAATTTAAGTTGTAAACAAGTGCAATTACCTGCATAATTCACGTACTGGTCAGATGTAGAGATTGTTTAAAATTTGACAGTTAGAAATCATCACAAAAATCCTAGAGTAATGTTGTACAATATCACTATATTCTGTTATTGTCATAAAAAAATTACTAGTTCATTTTAATGGGAAATACCAAAAAATATGGTTTTTGGTGCTGCTAGGTTCACCCTTCAACATAGTAGTTTTACAAGCTACCCTTTGATTCAACTGGCTTGGCGGCTGGAAGGCGGAGCTTCGTGACCCAACTAAGGCTAGATAATGATCAGAGAGCGCGCGCGACAGAGACACAGACTGCGTCGCGGGCGCGAGCGGCCTTAATTAGGTCAAAGCTCCGCCTTCCAGCCGCCAGGCTAGTTGAATCAAAGGTTACGAAGCGTCCGCTTTGAATCGCACTGCGCATAAAGTAAGAAGAAGAAATCTGATAGTAGTTGAAAGTAATATTAAGTTTCAAAAATCATATTACCGTCCCACATCCACTAACCCCAAAAATATAGTTACCACATCACACGTGTAATTAGACAATCCCCATATTTCATAGTTAGAAGTTATGAAAATTATGAGAACAAAATGGGAAGTTCCGTCTTTAACGGCCTACTCACTGCCATACACGTAATTACGTAGCTCGTTTACATCCAGAAGTACGATCATATATTTGTACTCTTCTAGGTGCCATAGCTCTGAAGAAGATACTGAATTAGGGTTGAAGTAGGAAAGAAATTGTAAGACTACCCGATAGACAATTTTAAGGTTCCATGCGTTTGTTATGAAGGATCCAATACTGCCAAAAGTTCAGGTTCATTTGGAAGTTTTGCAGATGCCAGAGCACGCTGACAAAATTGTTTATCACGTTCAATTCACCTTTCCGATACCAAGAACAATGACATTAAACCTTTCCGATACCAAGAACAATGACATTAAATTGAAATTGGAAGATAGATTGAAATTGAAAAATCCTACTCACCATCGTTTCGTATCTTCTTCTTCTTTATTGAACTTGGATATACCGAAGCAGCTGCTCCGAGTACAACTTTAGCGTTTTCGCTCAACGTTTAAGAGATTGATACCTTCATGTGGGTCTTCTCTTGTTTTCTGAATATTTATACTATCCTGTCAATCTGACCACAAGTAAAAGTCTAATCCCTCAGTTAATTTCTGCATTTTGAGCACTCATTTTCAATATTTGAAATGAACAATTTAGCAAATGCATGGCGTCTCTAAAAATTTGTAGTCGTGGCTTAAGACGCTAAAGATAGGATAATTGACAAAGAATACCACCGGCTTTTCTCTAGAGTTGCGAGAAGATCTCTATAGTAGAGAAGATATATTAGAAAGGAACATTCGTATTCTAAGCTTTTGAAAGGAAGCCCACGACTTAGGAGAATGATGTCAAATTTTGGAAAATTTTCAGTCCTTCTGTATTTCGACAAATCAAATGCATAGACGAAGGTGTACCAAGGATACTATCCTAGGTAATTTGGCCCCATCAGCATCAATATACCACACCAGGGGAAGATAGAGATATTTCCCACCGATACGCTCAATATTTTTATATCCCAGTCAGAACTATATTGCGAATCATCAATATCTGCTACTGTGTATTTAGACAATGACAGACGTAATTATCATGTCAAATAAGTCCTGTGGGCCAAGTAGCGAATTCTAAGGGCTCCCAATATTGGGACACCCAAGTAAAGTGGCCATTCTTAAACATGATTTACTACATTCCAAAAGTGAATTGGCTAATTCTTTTCGTACTCAATACAAAGCACTACTCCATATTCGCCTATTCCTGCTTCGAATGACCATCAAACTATGGAATTAGGAGCCAGCTAGAATCTCGTTTGTCCCATTTTTCGCTCGCAGTGGCTGTGCTTCCAACAACTATTACTCAAACAAAAAAAGACGAGTCCAGCTCTATTCAACTGCGCAAAAACTACGAGAATTTGGCTACCGAACTGTGCATAATTTGTTCCCTAATATTCACTTTGAAAGTATGTCGATGGGGTGTGGCACAACCCAAGAAAAGCTGTGGCTGCCACACCTTTTCAGGGGTTGTGCCATACCCCATCCACTTACCTTCAAACCATTCAGAACCTGCGTTTTTTATATCATTGCTACTGCTTGACATTCTTCTTTACACAGCAGGAATTTCTTATGAAATCGTTTCATCTAGGAAAAAAATATAATCGTTTTTCCTTACCTATGCAAATGGAAAATAGTGCGAAAATATGGGGTTACGGTAACAAGCTAAGTCTACGCTACTACGTGAATTGCGAGGGAAGGTGACAAAAATATGTACATTCGATAGCCTAACCCTCGTATTATAATTTACACCCAAGTATTTGAGTCTAATTGGTCTTGACTAGTCTGAGATATTGAAAGCGAAAAATGGAACAAGCGAGACTTTGGCTTGCTCTTAAATCCTTAAATTGGAGGCTAGTTAAAGTAGGAATCCTAAAGTCACCTTTGAAGCAAAAGTAACATGTTTGAAAATGACCACTTCAGTTGGGTGGACCTCAATTTCTATAAGCCTCAGAATTCGCTGAGACTTGCTCCACAAGGGTTATTTGACGTGCTAATTACTATAACGATGCTCTTATTTTATGTCTTTTATTATGCCTATGTACGTATATGATTTGTGAGCCAAAATATCCGTGTGCTAGTATTTTGCATGTTAGGCCTATCTGACATTGTTAACGAGCATCATGTTATCGTTAACATCAGAGTCACCTTTATTACGACCCCCCCCTCTCCTCCATGATTCCTCAATACGAGCCCTCAGGTGCGGCATGCCACACCCCACGCTTGACCCCGGCTATAATTTATGGCAGTAGCACACCCACAGATAGTCGGGATTGCCATTTCAAATAAGGGTTTTTTTAAATTTCAAATATACTCGGCATTGCCCCTGGGCAACACTAGCACCACAGAAACAGCAACACAACATTTTCAGAATTTCTTTATCATTACATAGTCTCGATAACTACTCTATTGAAAACATATCTCGATATCTATTAATTATATGAACATGCTGGAATTAGAGAAAAGCGCAGCGAGAACATTTAGCTACTCGTGATTTTTGGAATTCAAAATGAACGAAATCAATTTCAGATGAGTAATCTGTGATAGTGAATGCCTCAAATTTCAATCGGAGCTTGACAAATACGGATGACACCAGCAAATGCATAATTTAGGAAGCTAAACATGAACCAAGTTACTACTATCTTAGTGACTACATTCTCAGAATCAAAAAATTTCATTATTAGCGATGACTATGGTGTGCCATTGAAGCCGTAACGATGCCTCCAGGCCCAGCTAACGTAGTCTTGCCCATTAAGTATTCATCAACCTGAAAAAGATGGTAATAATATACCAAACATGTTTTGCTGAGAACATCGTTGGTGATCAACAAATTCTGTAAAACTTTGTGAAATCAAGTATATTTTCCAAGAAGCAACCTATTCACGGGAAATTTTAGCTTCAATGTAATTTTCTTACTCTTATTACCCTATAGCGGTGCGGCTACTTGTAGGCAGCGGCTCGGCAGAATGACAAATTTGCGATATTCATCGTTCTCGGTTCCCCTGTATGAGCTAAGTCCAAAACCAGGCTTTGCAACTTCAAAAGATATCGATAACCCGCTTTTCCAGAAGTGAAAAGTGCTATTTGGGCGGACGGCGTATGCCTGCCCTCGAGCGCAATTGGCTCGTGAGCACGGTAGGTACGGTATCTTCACTCACAAGCCAGTCGCGCTCTAGAGAGTAGGGTACGCGGTCGCCCGCGGTCCGAACGATGATTATCCTAAAGTTCATTCTGCCGAGCCGCTGCTTTTAAGAAGGAAGGGGGAAGGAAGATGAGCACAAATTTATTTTGAAGCAAGGATTCTACAAAACAATTTTCTGCTGTGTGAAACACAAACATAACACCAACCTGTCTAGCTGCTTGCCTTCCTTCATTAATGGCCCATACGATAAGCGATTGTCCTCTTCTACAGTCACCTGCTGCGAACACCTGAAGAACAATGAACTTTGTCTACAGTTTATGACGATAATCATATGAATTTACCTTTTCTACATCAGAGTTGTACTTGTTTGCCGGAGTGAGGATGTTCGATCTCGGATCCATTTTCAGACCTAGTTGCTCGATAACAGTCTGTAAAAAGCTCTGTCCTCTACAATATTGTTTTGCCGCTCATCTTCAAACCTTTTCAGGACCAACGAAGCCCATGGCAAGGATGCAAAGATCGCAATCTACCACTTGAATTGTGTCTGACTTTTCGACAAGTTTCCATGCACCCTAAAACGTTAACTACTAAACCAAGTTTGCTATTCATAAAAATAACTTTGTCCACGAACCTTTTCATCTTTCTCCCACTCAACCTCAACAACTTTTAGGCCTGCCAAAACCTTTATTCCAGCGGCATTTTCCGTAGTAACAAACTCCTAGATATGCCCATTAATGATTACAGTAATTATTGTCGAATCTGTACCTACCTTTGTCGAAATCGAGTAAGTCCTGGGATCTTGACCAGTTTTCAATTTTGCCTCCTCGTGTCCGTAGTCCACACGGAATATCACCGGCCATTCCGGCCATGGATTCTCGGGCTTACGTTTATCCCCCGGTTTAGGCAGAATCTCAAAAGCTCGCACCGATTTTGCTCCCTAAAATTTTGATATGAGGAACTGGGCTACGGTCTTAGCCGATCTGAAAGTTACCAGTCTGTTACAAGTTCCAATACAATCCGTTGCTGTATCGCCTCCTCCGAGAATAATTACTCGTTTGCCAGAAGCATCTAATCCTTCCCACGGAACATTATCACCAATCAGTCTACGCTGGCTCTTCTCTAAGAATTCCATAGCAAAACAGATGCCTTTTGCGTCACGTCCATTCACCTGTTGAAAACTTCACATAGAAATCTGGTATTTAATGATAAGAAAAGCCTTACGGAAAGGTCGCGGGGAGTTGTAGATCCAGTACAAACGATAATAGCGTCGTTGTCCTAGAAAGAAATCAGTGTAGTGCCAAGAAGAAGCATAGAAAAGAACTTACAAGGAAAAGTCACTTAGTTAAAGTGACAACTTGAAAAATGATGCATAACCTTTGATTCAACTGGCTTGGCAGCTGGAAGGCGGGGCATTGTGATCTAACTAACCACTCGCACCCACGAAGCAGCCTGCGTCACCCCGCGCGCGTGCTCTCTGGTCACTACCCAGCCTTAATTAGGTCACGCAGCCCCGCCTTCCAGCCGCCAAGCCTGTTGAATCAAAGGGTACCTGTGGATAGAGCTTAAAACTCTGATTCAAATTATAGCTTCCAATCTGCAAAGCGTTTTTCTAGAAAATGTTATGAGCTTCATTCGTATAAATTATAGAAGTCTGGTCCAGCAAAAAAAAAATGACGGCTTGTGAACATTAGCATGGCTGGAAAACAAAAGAGAACGTTTGATAAAATATTGGACGCACGAGCTAACTAGGTAATTTCTTTGGGTTTGCAAATTCCTTAATGAAAATTACCGTAATTGTGCAACTCAATACTCCGGCAATTTTGGTCTGGAAAAGGCCGTCACTTTTTCTAAAAAGACGTCTTGCAGATATTGAAGTTGGGATCAGTATTTTGAGCTCTAATCGCCGGTATACATCACCTTCCTAATCGCCACTTCGACCAAGTGACTTTCCTTCATTAGTAAGTATCAACCGTACAAACCTTGAGAAGGAAGTCAGCCGGTACATGCTTTCCTATCTCGGTATTCGTTAAGAAACGCACGCCTTCATCTTCAAGCAACTTCACCCGTCTATCCACAATATACTTATCCAGCTTCATTGTAGGAATTCCATACCTGTAATACAAGGCACTGACTGATAGGCAGAAGCTCTATCTAGTAATCCGTACCTCAGAAGACCGCCAACGCGGTTTTTCCGCTCATAGACTACGACCGTATGACCAACTTTGATGAGTTGAGCTGCGGCTGCCATGCCTAAACTTCGTTCAATAATTTTAGCAGCTGAATCTAGCAAAATTTGACGTACCAGCGGGACCAGATCCTATGATAGCAATGCGTTTTCCCGTATTTTCCAATGGTGGACGTGCTTTGATCCATCCTTGCATAAATGCGTAGTCGATGATGGCACATTCGATGGATTTGATCGTAACAGCAGGAGAACTGATTGCTAAGCAACATGCTCCCTAAAGTGGGTGGAGATGGTTTTCAAACTGATTTCACACGATATTTTACACAAAAATCTCAGTGCACAAGCCATCTATAACTTCCCAACACCTTACTGCATTCGCCTTGGAGGCCCGTCCGCCCAAATTGAGGCTCATGAGATTTTGATTGTAGAATAGCAGGAACAATTAGATTGAAAAGTTCTCAAACATAGCCTTTAGACAAAGTCTTTATTTCGATGTAAGCGCTGATTGGGGTATGCTGCACACCATTGGATAGAGGAAAGCAATCTCCACAAAACTTATGGGAAGCGCAAGCCTTATTGTTGTTCTCAATGGAAAATCAAGCGAAAATCTGAAGCATAGGTTTTTGTCCTAACCCAGATCTCCAACTTCTATATACGTTATGAAACCCCCACATGCTCCATTTTACAGTATACACATGCTTACATACTTACATGCACAGTTTCGGAGAGAAAAAAAGCTTAAACAACAAGAAAAACAAGGTAGAAAAGTGGCAAATCCGCCCCCATTGATCCCAAGCTCCTCCCACTTGATTATATTTCAATTAGAGGCAAATAAGAGTGCAGCTGCACATTTTGCCATGTACATGCATTAGATTTCGAGATATGACAGATTTGATCTAAAAATGTCCGAGAACTTTCTTTCCAACCTTATAACAATAAGTGATCCACCAAGTCCCACTGCAAAAAGGATTTTCAAAGCGAGAAAAACGCTCCAGATCGTGTAAGCCGGCCAGGTAGCTCCGACCACCACTGCGAGTGGTCTGAAGATAAAAAGTCTAAAATCGGACATTAACGTACGTGGGGTTGTTATGAATCCACCCTTCATGATGTCAGATTTCTGAAACTTTTATCTACCTGGAACACGCTTTCAAGCTTATTATCTTCAGACAATCTACGCTGATGGGCGGAGGCACCTGTGCCGCTTTCACTTTTGCAGCGATTTTCTCGCTTCGGAATTCACCTTTCGCAGGGGAATCGGGCAAATAGCTAGAGGGGCCACTCATACAGCATTAAGATCTCAGAATCCTCAGTCTGGGTGGATGGTGCCTTTGAACTAGACTTACAAGTTCCTACCTCACAAGGTGCCGGGCAAACTCTTCCAGTGAACTCCGGGAAATTATTCGTTTGTAACAACTGTTCAAGAGCTTGACGCCAGTTTTTCTTGAACACATAATCATTCCATTTCGGAATGATATTTCCAAGTGGGCATCCGGTATTACCCTGACAGAATGGAACACCGCAATCCATGCACCTGTAAATGGGTAACTGCTTTGCTCTGCAACCTAGAAACTCATGAACTAGCCTGACCTTGCAGCTTGCTCGCGTATATTGCTTCTGACAGATTCAAAATCGTAGACTTCATCCCAGTCCTTCACACGTACCTCAGGCGCTCGATACAACTTCTTTTGCCGATTATATTTAACAAATCCACTGGAATGTTCAAAAGTCAGGGAAATACAACTACTAGGTGGTAAAATATTTTTTTCAGTCAAAAAATGGTATCCAACTTTCTCAAAAGTTTTTTCCTCATTTTCAAACTACGTAGATGGTTGTAACTTTTCGTATACATGTCACCCACAAAAACTCATTTTTTCAATTTCTCAAATGTTGTGAAACTTTTTTAGCAAATTTCCAACTTGCATTGTTGAGAAGCTTGAGCTTCCGATTTCTCTTAATATTACTAACTTTACTAAAATTACTGAAAAATTACTAAAAATCCATAAAATTTATGAAACCATAAAAAATGAAAACATGAAGATTGAAGAGGTATCACAAAATCCCCTATGTGTGTCCCCTATCCAGAATCCACTAACTCATTTTCTTGAAGGTTTATGAAAATGAATGATCATCTCCTTCCTCATGTATCCTTCGATTCAACTGGAATGGCGGCTGGAAGGCGGGGCTTCGTGACCTAGTTAAGACTAAAATGAGAGAGAATGACGCAGGCGCGAGCGGCCCTAATTAGGTCACAAAGCTCCGCCTTCCAGCCGCCAATCCAGCTGAATCAAAGGCTATGCCAACCATGAGACTGCCAAAATTTCTGGGGTTTTCCGGAGGTGAAAAAAATGTGATAAAACTTAAGTTATAACCCAATAAAAGTAACAAACTCTGAAGAAAGAACCAACCGCAGCTTATCGAGTGGCTCGTTGTTCTTCTTAAGATGAGGAGGTACAATGATGTTTTCAATATCGACGTCCTTGTTCACATGTTGCAAGAAATCGTTCGAGTGTAAAAGCTGGAAAGAAATAAACATGACTAGTTTAAGTGAAGATCTAGTAAGATATGATGAACCTCATCATCTGACAGTAATTCCTCATCATTATCAGATTTCGTCTCTTCTTCTTCGTTATCTTCAATAGCTTCTTGCACGTCTTCCTCGTCTTCAAATCCGGCTATATCCTGAGGTCGAGGATTTCGCGATAGCTTACGTTTGCGTTGTGAGATCTGTAATAGCAAATCATTACTAAACAATATTTTACATGTAGAGTTAACATGCCAATCCACAGTGAAAAATAGGAAGGATATGCACTGCACGCTCTGTTACAACATGACTATATCTATTTCAGGACTCGGCACGAGGTGGCTTTCCGAAAATGCAAAAAAAAAACGTCCCCCTTTCACAAAATTTTACGAAGTTCCCTTTGACCCTTATCAGAATCAACTAAAAACCCTAAAACGCCTAATCCAACCTTTGGTTCAACTAGCTTGGCGCCTGGAAGGCAGGGCTTTGTGACCTAATTATGGCCGCTCGCGCCCGCGACGCAGTCTGCGTCTCTCCCGCGCGCGTGCTCTGTGATCACTACCTAGCCTTAATCAGGTCACGAAGCCCCGCCTTCCAGCCGCCAAGCCAGTTGATACAAAGGGTACTTGTGTTTTCCGACCCGCAAAAACGATACCTGCTTTTTGTCCCAAAAATGAAATCAGGTTTTTTATAAGCCACCCATGCCGAGCCCTGATCTACATATCATACAAGCACCACTACTTTTACAAGTCACTAGCTGATTGCGTTTACAGTCGTAGAGACCTTTGGTACTTCGAGCCGAATATTCGACTGACCACTTTCGCGCTGCTAAAAATCGTAACGGACATAGCACATCGACAAGGACTGCTAAATTCTGTAAAATGTACTAACACTAAGTTTTTTCTTAGCTGCTAGTTTCTTCTTATGAATGAGTGTCGGAGCGATCTGCATGTCCATGGACAGGGCACGTTCGCGAGGTCGTCCTTCCTCCATATCGCCATTCTCCTAGATTTGAAAGTTGAAAGAAACAAAATGCATTAGCAGAAACAGAAACAGACTTTCTCAGCAGCTTCCTTCTCTTCGGCTAGACGCTTCTTTTCTTCCTCTTGCTCTTTCAGGACTCTTTTGTAGTCTTTGGGGAATATCTTTTAAAAAAATGCGCATTCATATCGCATGTTAAGGGCCACGTCTCAGATAATCGCAAAAGACCTCCGGGGAAAACTGAAATTCTAAAACTTCCGGGGAGGACGCTCCTATTGGGCCGTGGAGTGGACCCCACCCTATCTGGCTCCGCCCTACCTGGCAGCTCCAATAGGAGTGTACCCCCGGAATTTTGAGAGTTCAGTTTTCCCCGGAAATATTTTGCGATTATCTGAGGATAGAGATGGTTACCTTTATGATTTTTGCATGTTCAGTTTGCCACTGGTCAAGAATGCGCTGGCCTAACTCAGACCCGGTCAGTTCAACAAATTTCTTGATCCTGTCCCGTATAAAGACCAAATCTTCTTCATCTGGAGTATCCAGATCAACTGTGGCGTCATTAATTCGACTAGTAAATGGGTCGCCCCTGAAAATCAGTGGGGCTGCCAGGTAAAAGGGATAATATTCACAACTATGATACGTTAAACGAACTGCTTGAAAAGGAAAGCAATTCCACCACTCATAGCAGCAGCGAAGTTCTTTCCGATATGTCCTAGCACGATCACTCTTCCTCCGGTCATATATTCACAAGCATGATCACCGACAGCTTCGACAACGGCAGTGCAGCCAGAATTTCTCACGGCAAAACGTTCTCCAGCGACTCCACGGAACCAACACTCACCTAAAAGCATATTTTACTGCTAGACTGTAAAAATACCTAGAGAAAGCGAACTCACCCGACGTTGCACCGTAAAGAGCAACATTTCCGATGATAGAGTTTTCCTCTGATTTGAACACGGCTTTCTTCGGTGGGTATACTATCACAGTACCTCCGGAAAGGCACTATAAACTATGAACTTACGCTCAAAATATTCACCGAAAGTGGTCCCACCTTTCCAACATAGTCATTTGCATCGCCTTCCAACTCAACGGTAATGCCTTTGGCGAGGAATGCGCACAATGACTGACCAGCAGATCCTTTCAAATTGATCTTTATCGACCTCTTGCCAGACAGTCCCTCTTCACCATAGCGTTTCGAAATCTAAAATTGATATTTTGGAAAAGTTTGTGGGCCAAAACAGGCGGTGGCAAAGGGACGCACCTCGTAACTGATCCTTGTGCAAAACGCTCGGTCAAGATTAGTGATCGTTTTATCTTTGATCTCTAGATGACAGCTAGGTTCAGCGAAAACTTTCGGCAATGACTTGAGGATTTCCTTCTCCAGCTCCCCGGGTTCGACAGTCTAAAATCGTTCCAGTGGAGCAGATTAGTACAACTTCCTTGAAGGCACCGTCCACCCAAATTGAGGTGGTGAGATTTTGATGCTGTATGATAGCGGAGCCCCCCCCCCCCCCTAAGCCCCAAGAGCTCAAGTCCGGCTACAAAAGTAGATAGCGAAATTAGAAAGTCGCTCCAGAATGTAGAGGCGGCTAAGGTCGCTCCGCCCCTCAATGTGGCGGTCTAAAGGCGGAGCCACCTTGGACACTCGTACCTTCTGGAGCATTATTCTCGATCCAGAATTTATCTTTTGCAGCGGGACTTGGGCGATCACTTGTTCAGGGGCCCCGTTCTTATGCAATATCAAAATCTCACCGCCCTCAATATGGATAGACATTGCTTTTAACCCTACCTGTTTGATCGTCCCACTTTTAGTCGAAATATTTGGGAACATATGATGCACGTTTTTCAGAATGGTACCGAATTCGAGCAAAGTTGCCTGAAGACACATATAAACGTTAGTCAACTATCGGATCCTCAGTACTAATACCTTTTTGTTGACTGGGTTCGGACTCGCATAAAGTAAATCTGTACGTCCTATCGCTTCGTTAAGAGTACGAAGACCGAGTCGAGAGAGGAAATAGCGAACCTCTTCAGCTACCATAAACATGAAATTCACCACATGTTCCGGTTTTCCTTCAAATTTCGCTCGCAGAATTGGGTCCTGAATGATTAAGCTGAATTTTCACGATGTTGATGCAGATATGAAAAATCCTTGTCCTGTAACAATCACACAAGACAAAAAATCAAAGAATTTCCTAATGGCAGCATCCATCCCAAATCTTTGATTTTGTCATTTTGGGACCTTTCCGTTGCTCTGATCACAAATATGAAATATGTGCAAAACCCTCTAAAACTCCACTTCTGAGCCCCAGAAGGCACGGACGACTTTCAATACCTGGGTGGGTGGAGCTTGATAGAGCGGGCGTAGCTTGCCAGTATGTTTCATAAGTTCCAAGACCCTTTTTTCCATTCAGGAGCCACATTAGAAAGCTGGACAAACGCAGGTGTCCTACTTCCAGGGTTTTCTTGTAGACTAGATATTACTAATCGGGGGAGCATAGATTTGCCTGGACGCTGCCCTTAAGAATGTGAAACGATTCTTAGCTCTTCATCTCCATGTTTACCTGGGTTGCGATACCAACAGGACAAGTATTCAAATGGCACTTTCGCATCATTGTGCACCCTAGAACAATGAGCGGTGCTGTAGACATGCCGAACTCGTCTGCTCCAAGAAGTGCAGCGACCATTACGTCACGACCTATAAATGTCAAAACATGAAAAACATTACTTTACTTAGAACTGACAGGCTCTTACCAGTTCGTATTTGCCCATCAGCTTGAATAGTTACTCTGCTCCTAAGATTATTCATTGTCAATACTTGATGAGTTTCAGCAACACCAAGCTCCCACGGTAATCCAGCATGTTTGATGCCAGTCCAGCTAGAAGTGCGATCAAAGACTGTAGCTAGTAAAAGCACCATCCATCCTAATTGAGATTGGTATTTTGACTTGTATAGCGGGTCCCATAACTAGTGGTCGCCCAAGCCCTGCTACGAAAAATGAATTTCGAAGCGAGAAAACGGCTTCAGAAGGTAAAAGCGGCCCAGTTGGTCCCGCCCATCAACGTGGGTGGCCTGAAGATAAAGGGGTAAAAAAATCGGGCTTTTATATGTCTGGAGCTGTCATAAATTTGCCCTCCATTACGGTGGTCAGATTTTCGACTTTTATCTACACTGAAGCCAGCTCCGAGCTAATCTTCAGGCTAACCACGTTGATGGGCGAAGCCACCTGAATCGCTTCTACTTTCTGGAACGATTTTTTCTCTTGGAAATTTATCTTTTGCATGGGGATTTGGCGATTACCTAGCTGAACCCACTGTCAAACAACATTAATCTCGGAGTTTTCAATCTGCGTGGAGATACCTATTAGAGAATATCAACACATACCTAGAAGCTCCAGTGCCACCATCGTGACCCGAAATTGTTACATGATCCGCAAAACCTTTCACAACACCCGATGCAATGATACCAACACCGGCTTCGGAGACAAGTTTAACACTGACTCTCGCATCCGGATTGGCACACTTGAGATCATAAATTAATTGTGCGAGATCTTCAATCGAATAGATATCGTGGTGTGGTGGTGGAGAGATCAGTCCGACTCCTGCTGTGGATTTCCTAGTGTCGGCGATGTCCTTGGTGACTTTGTGACCTGGTAGTTCACCACCTTCTCCAGGTTTTGCACCTAATAATGCAGAATGGAATAATCGCTACAGTATGCTGATTGTTTATGGATTGCACAAAAGTCCAACCCTGTGCCATTTTGATTTGCAGTTCGTCGGCATGTGCGAGGTAGGACGATGTGACGCCAAATCGAGCAGAAGCAACCTGATGAATGAAGAGGATTGCAGTGATTAATTTTATTTGAAAAAGTCACCACCATAATTGCAAGAGAAATTCTGAACGTTACGCTCAAAAAAAAAATCTATTTGATCCTTTCCAGAAAAGGTATTCTACTTGATGTGCCGTTTCTCAACTGACTGGCTTTAAAGGCTGACCGCAAAACAGCCTTTCATATTTGCTAAAGGTTTACTGGAGAAAGCTAGAGGCATTTTTCGGGCTGTCTAGACTAATCTACTCGCAAGCGAATTTTTTTGAACTTATTGATTCAACTGGCTTAGCGACTAAAAGGCGAGGCTTTGTGACCTAATTAAGGCCGCTAATCAGGTTACGAAGCCCCGCCTTCCAGCCGCCAAGCCAGTTGAATCAAAGGTACGTACTAGCCTAGATGCCTCTGTATACTTTTTATGTTTAGAAAAGACTTTGAGGGTTTGAAGCTACTTTGCTACTTCAGTCTTGCAAGAAGCAGCAAGCTCAGTGTCATCTGAGAGCAAACAATGCCTGATTTGTTTATTAAACAGTTTATCAGGAACAGATAGAAATAAAAAGAATAGATCGGAATAAATCTGCTATCAGCACCTCAACACGGTCATTGCGGTGCACTGTTGGGGATAGCCATTTCGAGTCAAATGTCCTTTACTGTTACCTAGAGGGGTGTTGTACCTTGTCAGCTCAATCGCGCACTTCTCTACCATCTACAGCACCTAGTAAAAATTTCAACCGTATGAGCGAATTGCTACCCTTTGATTCAACTGGCTTGTAGGCTGGAAGGCGGGACTTCGTGACCTAATCAAGGCTAGGTAATGATCAGAGAGCACGCGCGCGTGAGAGACGCAGATCGCGCAGCCGCGAGCGGCCTTAATTAGTTCACAAAGCCCCGCCTTTCAACCGCCAAGTCAGTTTAATCAAAGATTATAACGGGTGGGACACTGTATGGTAGTGCAAACGGCGAGAGTGTGGAGGAGGATGCACATGGTCCCATCACGCTTCCATTTTATAAGGGGAAACGTAAATTTGTGTGGAGAAGCATTTTTAGTCCAGTTCCATACTATGCCTTCCCGTTTTTTTTTGCTGAATAGGAAACTTAACAGTATTGCATCAAATCACGACTGAAAATACCCTTTTACTGGATGTAATTTTGAGAACTAAATAAGATGTAGTACGCGCGTGAAGTGCAAGAATATATTTGTATTACTTCATTCATGCGATTTCTGAGCACAACGTAAATCTGTGGTTTACAAGTGATAACCACGCATGAAACTTTCAGAAGATGGACATTTAGGTTTTCTGAAATCCACTTCACAGTCCCACCTGTTTTATGGCTGAACGCAGATTATTGTTCGGATCCTGATTGCCTGCATATCGTTCCGGCTTCTCTCCTCCTTCGCCCGTATTAGATTTCGCTCCTATGCGATTCATCGCAATCGCCAAAGTCGTATGCGCTTCCCAAGAGATTGAACCAAATGACATAGCTCCTATAATTTCGAAGAACTTGACAGAATCTGAAAAATTGACGGTAAACTTGCCAGTAACAAATCGTTTAACAATCTCGCTAGCAGGTTCCACTTGATCCATAGGAATTTGGAGTTTGTCGCTAGTTTTGATCTCTAGTTGACCCCTTAGGGTACACCACCTTTGTTGCAAATTGGATATACGCGAGTACTCTTGGAAGGTCTTCGGGTTGTTCGTACGGGTCGCAGCCTGGAGCATTTTCTTTATGCAAGAATTTTTTTGTAACTACAAATTATAAGTACGTATAAGATATAGTAGAGAGATTTTTTGCTCAGTACAGTGTGCCTGCGGTGCCAAAAAGATGCGATAAAATTTTCGCGTGAAAAAATTGGTGCCGGCCACTTGCGCGACCAATATACCGACATAACTGCGTGGCTGCTGCTTCGCGCGCAAATTTCAACACATTTTCTTGGCACCGCAAGCACACTATGTCAAGCGGAAATCTACTCGACTGTATACATTATCGCTTGAGATAGTGCCATCACCTGTAACTTCGCGATCGCCTCAGGTTCATTGACATGTTTCTCGCCACCGGCTCTCCAATGGTACGTACCCGATGCCACCAAAACGCGGGAGTCTCCTTGAATATACAGTAATCAAAACAAAAACGCCTATTGTGAATCCTATACTATGAAACTGCGTCTGCTCAGCTAAAGCAGCAATAGCTGCCTAATAATTCCGCATTTCGAGCAGCTAGAGGGCTCAGATCGGATAAATACTGTGCAGGCTGCAAGTGCATTGCTACCACGCATTCCAAGAGAAAAAGACAGACAAGGCTTCTCACATGGATGTAACGCTATTACCCTCAATCCTAACCAGACTATATTAACAAAAATAAAATAGTGATGTTTGTGAACAAAGTGAGCTCAGAGAGCCTAAAGTGCGCGATAGGAGCAAGAAAGATAAACATGCCAGACGTACAACACAATCACGCACCATACAACGATAAAACTTCAAGCAATCTCTTACCATAGATTCCTTTCCGTTCGCCTGTCTTTGCATCAACTAGAAAATATGAAAGAAAGAGTCAGATTAGGATACAACAACGAAGTTCTCAAATCTCAACATATGTATGTAGTATATCGTCGAAATGAAAGAGAAATAGTGCAAATAGAAGAGGATGGCCATCTCATTCCACAGATTGCATCGACAATCTCACTTGTGCACTTCCCTCTCCGAGGCCTCTTCTGGTGCTGTTTCTAATTAGATTTATTCTCGTTTGCTGCTCATTAAGAAGTGTTTATCGCTCTCTCAGTTACACGCTCTTCATACCGCCTATGCTGTTCGGGAGAAATTAGTCTCGGTAACTTTTGCTCTTTTTTTCGCACCCATACCGTAATCCAACCCTTTCATACTTACCGTAGGCATGTTTGTCAGCATTTGTAGCCACTGGGAATGCAGCTCTGTGCCGCTTCAAAGCTTCAGCAGCTAGAATTTCAAATGTGGCGCCACCAAGTCGCGACACAGTGTTTTTAAAGCACAAATCCACCACTTCCTTTGCCAATCCAACGATTTCGAAGATTTGCGCATGCTGCAATAATCTTGGTCTTTCCGAGTGAAAAAACCTAGTCAAGACTTTATGTTTCACCTTGTACGAATGAAGCGTGCTGATACCCATCTTAGCCATGACTTTGAATATTCCACGCTCAACACCTTGGCGATATCCTTGGAATACCTGTGAAATTTTAGAATAAGCATTTCGACTTCAGAAGACAACATTCAGCTTGAATTTCCAGCCTCTGTTTCAACAACTTCGAAGGCGCCACTTAATCGAAATCATCGCATGTGGACTTGGATTTACCAAGTGCAAAATGTTTCTAGAAAGGTTTCTAAAAGTAATTTCGCTTTTTTCAAACGGGCATCACATGTGACGGAACAAAGGTTTCTAAGAGATCTTGGAAGCATTCGATGCAGAATTCTATTCTCTTTCTAATGGTCATGAAATTGTTGCAAATCAGTCAATGAGCTTTCAGAAAACAACCAAAATCTGCGACCCATGCTTTTTGAGATGGTCAAGTTTCATGATTTTTTAAAACTTTCATATCATTCCTCAGAAGGAGTTCAAGTAACGTTTCGATAGAGCAAATCTTACAGGATACAGTATTACTTTTTTCTCTTTCTTGTTACTCGCCGTAATTTTTTAAAAGATTTTTCAACAGAACCATCGGATTTTGGCAGGCCCACCTCAACCACAATCACATCATACATCATAATATTTCGGAATTTGAGACTACTAAGATGGTATTATGAGTCAGCATTAAGCTTACAAAGCAAGTGAGGGCTTACGGGTTCGAAATATCAAATTTCGAGTTTTTCGGATACAGCCTGGAGCTTGCCAAAAAATGAGTTATGATGATTTCTACCCGGAAACTAAACGAATCGGAAACAAAAAACATCCATTAGAAAGAGGAGAGAATTCTGCATCGAATGGTGCTCGAGCTGCTCTTCCTCTGATGTTCTACGAGGATTTAGCTGTCTAAAAATGGAAATCGGTAGCGTCAGTTAAAATTCTGTTAAAAATGTATGACAAGCTACGGAAAGGAGAAAAAAGTAGTACTGTATTCTATAAGGTTGCTCTATCGAATCGTTACTTGAACTTCTTCTGAGGATTGATATGAAAGTTTTAAAAAATCGTGAAACTTGACCATCTTAAAAAGCATGGGTCGCAGATTTGGTTATTTTCTTAATGCTCATTGACTGATTTACAACTTTTCCATAACCTTTAGAAAGAAAATAGAATTCTGCATCGAATGCCTCCAAGATCTCTTAGAAACCTTACATCCTTCACATGTGGTGCCCGTTTGAAAAAAGCGAAATTACTTTTGAAACGACCTAATATATTATTACAGTCCCAGATGGCTTCTTGTAAGTCCATCGAAGGACAATAGGTGAACATGTTTGTCGAAAACTGTTTCTAAATCCAGCTCGAGACGGAACATACGGTGTAGAAGAAGTGCAAGCTAACTGCTCCAAAGCCAAAATATTTTGAGTCATTTTTGGAAAACTGCATATACGAAATTGATTGTGATCGTATGCTTATGCTGAAAGAAAAAACAAGCTGTTCAAAAGATCAGATGTTTTTTGAGACGATGCTACAGGCTCAATAAAGAAAACTCGAATTATGATCGTCTGTACTCAGCCATTAGTGAAAAAAAAACTGTTCTTTCTTTTTACTACTTTCGCACTTAGCTTTATATCTTCAAGTCGTCAATAAATCATTTGGGGCAATGCTTATATTCACTTACCATATCATCATTCAAATCTTTATCGAGCAGACCAAGATGTCGAAGACGGTACATCGTCTCAAACACCATATACGGGCAAATCGCATCCGCTCCAAACCCGAGAAGCACACAAAAATCATGGATGACTTTTGCCTCACCGGTTTCAACCATAATCGCAACCTAAAAAATTTCCGCCTAACAGCCGTCTAACATTTTATTGCAGAAGTTGGGTACAGTCCGTGTTAATCACGTGCTCCCTTCCCCGTAAGCGCAATGAGCTTCGCGCCAGGTTCGCGAGCGTATGGCTCAGGCATAGAATGGATTTATCGATTGGATCCGGGTTCCACACGCAGGGCCGTTGCGTTGCGCATGTGTAGTTCCATGCGAAAGGGAGTATGTAATTGACATTGACTGTACATTTGACCTTTTATGCGAGATAATCAGATGCATCAGGCTGGTCCGAAAGTTCTTCTATCTTTTTTCAAAATCATGACATTTTTGCATCTTGAGGAAATACTTTCCAGATAATTTTGCTTCAAAACAGAAATTGCCAGTATACAGCAAACCTTTCTTGTAAACTTTGGAAAAAAATGCAAGATTTACAAGCAGAGAAAATCACTCAAAATCGGCATTCTTTGATCCAAAAAAAAAACAGTTTTGTAGATTTCGGTGAAATTCAATCCTTAAGGGCCGGGCATACTTCACGCGATTATAGCTGCGGCGCAATTTGGCAACGTTCCAACTGTCCGTAACTCACTGAAAGGGGTTTCTGAATGTATAGAAGATAGGGCATTTCATATTTCATCAATCCACCTATGTTGTACACACTATGCATGTGCAGTTTGCTAGTGTTGGATCTAAAGACTTCTGGAGAATTGCCAAATCACGTCGTGACTGAAATCGCGTGAAGTATGCCTGGCCCTTGAGGTTTGACATAACGAGTTATCTTGTAGTCTCATTCTGCGATCTTTTAGTATTCTCAGCAACCTTAACTTGTTATTAATCATTTTGTGCTGCACGTATATATGAAAAATAGGCTGATGAACCCAAGTTTTCTTTAGAACCACCTGCGGAAAAGGAAAACTCTGTTCTCATTTTACTTCAAAATATGCTTTATCAGACTCTTTCCATCTCTATGAATTATTAGAGTTATGTTGATGTTGCAGTGCTCAGATTACTCGAGTATCTGTGGAGCATCGTCATCAGCGCGCGGTAATTTTCATCTTCATATTCATGAGTGGCATATTATCTTATACTCTCATTTGTATGCTTCGAGTACTATCACGAATAAACATCATCATGTCACCAAGACTACGGCCATAATGGCTCATTTGAAGCCTTATATGCGTAATTCGTAAATGAGCAATAACACATTTTTGTGCCGAGAACACTTTCGAAATGTCTTACTTTCTAGAATGTCGCAACAATCGTGATAAAAATTTCTGCTCTAATTATTGAAACCTTAAGATTTTCGCCAACTCCGTCAGTCTCTTATGAAAACCTGGCGGCAAGCATTGGCTAAAATCTGCAGTACAACCTGCACGGAATTAATGATAGAAATATGGAAGCAGATCAATCATTTTACGAATTCAAGACATTTCGAAGACATTTGCAAGATTCGTGCTATAATGATGAAAGAATGCTTTTGACTAATGTCTAGCTTTTACGCAATGATTTATACGTGTTCAAAGGGGACAAAAGTGATGTCTTTTCCAGGAATAATGGAAAAATTGACCCTAGCATACTTAAAATTGTCTCTATCGGGATGCAGCTCATAACGTTTACATCCTTTCCCAAGTCAAAAAGAAATAGTTATTCCTTTTTGGAAAATTCAAGTATGAGAAGGGTGATTTTTCCATCAAAAGATCACGAGAGAATTTTGCGCGTTGTGTGGACCTCTGGATTTGATCCCGACTTGCTCAAAAATTTTTAGGATGATTTATGCGAAGTTTAGCGATCAATTCACTCAAAAAATTTCTCACAATCAAGTTTTATGATGATTTACGCGAAATTTAGCAGTATTAACTTTTTCTTGCAAACCTTCATTCTCAAGCGATGTCGTATCAAACACTGATGAATTGCTCCAACAGCTAGAGGTGACGATATTGGTACATTATCCTTACTGGCAGCTCTATCAGACAGTACCAGGATCTGGTATCCATCCAGAGCAGCCGTACAGGCTTCACAACAGATTCTATCGAGTCCTGGTACTAGGCCTGAACCGACGAGTCATCAAGTTTTCGAAGTGTAACGGAGACACTGATGGAATTTCTTCAGCTCCAGGATCGAGTCCACTTACCTTTCACTCCGTATCTAACCGGGAAAGTCGTGTCGATGACTTTGCTTCGCCAACCCTTATACATCGTACGTTTGATCACCTAAAAATAGTCTCCATAAGAATTCTCAAGCCAGACCCACACCTACGACATTACGATCCACAAATTTGCGTAATCATATGCCTCATTCTCTCTCATTATTAGGAATGTGCGGCTTGTCAACAATTTTCTATGAAGCTTAAGGTTCTCACACCCCGTCAGCATACACTATTCATTGTGTTTATATCGTCAAAAACTTGCCTCCATATCCACCATTGAAAGCACGGGTTGCTCGAGAATTAGACGGCTTTCCAGCTCTTGATTTGGTTCCAGTAAGTTTGACTCTGGTCCTACAGGGCATCTCAAACTCATCACGATCTGTTCGCGGAACGGATCAATTGGTGGATTGGTAACCTAAACCATCAACCATTTTCACTTCTTCAGAATACATGTAGATCGCAGGACGTGCGATCGCATCGCAGACTAATGCGATTTTAGCGATGTTGCAAAATCACGCATTCTGACCACTAGTTCACCTACCATGAGAACATTTCATTAGTCGCAAGTATCACTCTAAGCATTCCTACTCTGAACAATGTAGTGGATGCAATAAATATTGCCAGAAGACATTCGTTTCTGCTTGTTGGTTGTTGTTTCTCGATTGAGGAAGCATTTATCGTGACGCAGATATTCTCATACAAGCTAATTTCTATTCTCTTGCAGCAAGAAATTCTTTTCATCCGATTTCACAGCCAAAACTTGCATCTTGCTCTATTTCTTCAAAAGAAGAATTGCTGCCTTGTTTACCAAAAATTTTCAATATATTCAAGTTTTATTCTCGGTTCTTACCTGAGCGAAAAGTTGCTGGCAATACGAAAATAAGAGCGGGCTGAAGTCGGACAGACATGCCAAAGCTGCGTCATTTCCCATGGATCCTAGAGCTTCTTTCCTAAAACAAGAATCTTTTCTCCCGAAAATTGATCAGCTTCACCAAATAAGATGCAGTAGGCGATTCTCGACATAGTTTCGCTCCCAATCTCCAGTTTTGCTCATAGCAACACGTATACTCACTGTTTAAGCAAAAACAATTTCCGCAGGCACCTTATTGTTGAGAAAAATCTCGCAGATTTCGTTGAAGGCGGCTTTTTTGCAGCTTAAAACTTCGCCTCCGGCACAAACTTCTGTCGAAATCGCACAAAACAAACATCGTCAGATGTCGTTCGAGCTCGGCGACGTTACTGGCTTGTAGAACTTTTTATCCACAGTTTCCTCGCTTGCAAAATTGCTAGCAAGCTAGTTCTTGATCCATGAATTCTGTTACTAATACCCCTTGTCCACGCCTCTTCCACACTATGCCAATTAACCGACAAACTCACCCCTCACTCTCACAAAAATTGCCATTAGATTTTCCCTGCCATTCTAGGAACTACTTTATGCTACAAACTTACTTCTCCTTAATCATCGGTACCAATAACAGACTGAAGGTGTCATGGGTGTAGGCGTACAGCGGCAGACGTCGATCCGAATCCAAGTGCACATCCTTCTTTCGAGAGCTCTCAATTCCCAACGCTTCCAAGTGACATTTGATGAGATACTCGTTTGTTACAGCACCATGTGATAACTGCAGTTCAATTAAGAGTTTCTTATTTTTCAACAAAAATGTCATTCAATACATACCACATCGTCTTTACGTAGCAGATCTAGGTAAACTCTTTTGGATGTGAGCTTCTTGTGTGGTCTTGATTGCGCTATGCGCCTTTTCAGGTCCTCATCCGTTTCGATCTTCTTTGCAAATGTGTCCACTAACAGCATCCTTCCCGGCTTCAATCGGTCCTGAAATGAAGATTTCAAAACTTTTTCTAGTTATGGATATCCATAAATAGCTAGACCATAGGCCAATTCCTTGGCTTCTGATTTCTCAATATTCCCCGCTACCCATCACTTCACACCTCTCACCCTGCTGGTGCTGCCTCTTAACACTTACAGCCATCACACCTCAACCCATCTGCTTCAGCTCGGACGCAAGTCATGTTTTCGATGAGGCTGGCCCCCAGTTCATTGCTAATTCAATTGTCTTATATCATTGAAGTGTCTGCAATGACGTTCGGACACAAACACCTTGCCTCAGGCAGCAGCCAAGCATTTTCGTCCGGCCCAACGAATTTTTGTCATGTATGATTCGGGAAGGAGGGATGTCAACCGCCTCCTCGAAATGCTACACCGCTCTCATAACGAGGCCGAGGCCCGTTGCCTTGCCCCTGCACCTCATGCTTTGCTTCTCATTTTCCTCAGAGTCGACTCACTCGATCGCTTGTACTCTTATGTGACCAATCATCACAGCACGGGAAGTGTTAGCTGCTCAATTGAGACAAATCTGCTCATTTTCAGGTATCGTAATGATCAGCAAGTCCTTCCTGACCTTTGTCGTTCTGACAATCTTGAGCTTGCTTGTGAGTTGCTCTTTTTCAACAAGCTATTGCCTTACCAAAGCCAAATGTTCCCGACTCTTTAGGCATCAGCCGTTTCATCGCAATCGGACACAGGAATGGAAGCTCGTCAGCAGTTCAAGCGATTTCGCGGTGAACCAATTCGATTCGGCAAACGGGCCCCTCGTGAGCCAATCAGGTAAGAGTCGCCTGTACCAAGTTGCCCTAAAGCTATACCTAACAAAATACCAAAGTTTCAGGTTTGGAAAACGAGCACCGCTGTTTGAGCCGTATTTCGACTACTAGACATGCGTAACAATTCAAATCGTAATCTCCAAACATTCCACGCTCCAACTTCTACTCGTCACCCGAGACGACACCTGCTTCTTTCTACAATTATGCATTTCTTAGAGGTACCATCCCGCCTGAGACATACAATTTCTGCGCTTTGAATCATGATGAGCCGTCATTATCGTTGAATTGAATGAATAAATATGGTGAAGTATTCGAAACTAGATCACTTTACTTGTTAAATTCCTGGAAACTCGTAACAAAGACATTTTTAGAGGTCTTCACATCTATTGAAAGTCGAAAGCATGCAAAAGTTTTTTGCTTGTGCACGACTAAATCCAGCACTGATTAATTGTGGAACCTCTTTGTATTCGTTAATTCTTGCCTGACAAACGACCCGCAATCCATCAAAAAAGCTGTCCAATTCAATGCTATGTGCTCAGCAGAATCATTTTCATTATAGCTATAGCAAAGTAGAGATTACCGATATACTTTGCTCAACGAATTGCGAAATGTCTAGTTTGAATTTATAATCAGCATCCCTTTTAGTATACCAGTAAAAAAAATTTAAAATTGGGCAAAATTTTTCATGACACTGGGTTCAGCCGCTGCTTATAAGTAAGATTGTAGTTTTACACTTCAACCAGACAGCGAATAATGAATCCAAATTTTTCATTCAAAGAGAATCAAAGAATTTCCATTCACTACTGTTCGTGACCAATGATTCCAAAAAACGCTTATATTAACCTTCTTCTGAACCTTTGCGGATGTCTACCCTTTCAAAACGCCTCCTATTTTGAGCAAAACCGATCTGTTGATATACAATGAAAGATGAGAGGTAATTTGAGTTTGTAGAGGAAGCAAAAGACAATGATGCCTTTGTGCATTTATGTGAGATCTAAAGTTAGAGTTTGTAAAATCTTAACATCCAAACAGAACACTCCCAGGTTCTCGATCATGAGGGGAACATTTTATGAAAATAGTAATAGACTTCTGAAAGAGGTACTATATTACAAGCTGAAATTGAGTTAACATATATCCAATTCTAAACCTGCAAATCAAGCAGGAAGACCAACTCACGAATTACACTTCACCCCCTCAGTCTATAACAAACAGATAGATACAAGATATTTTAACTCCTCCCCCTTCCACCCTGCACCCAAGTGTGCACTAAAGTTTTTATTCCCTTTTGTCTCTCCAAGACTGATCTTCATGGACTGATATGATGCCACATTTGCAACAGAAACCTATCCATCCAAAACATTCGATCTAGACCAAGTTAGAGCGAAGTTGACAAACGTCAAGCCCATTATTTGGAATTATGCTGAGACTCGGATAAACAGTGCATTATGAGAAAAACTGCAACAATGTCTAAACAATGTCAAAAATTACTAAGGAAAGAACTCATCGATGCATAAGCTGGAATGGTGGTTGCACTTCTGAACACGGCACAACGCTGCCTTGAGTCTTTATAGAAGATTTTTATTGTTGAATGGATCAGAAAAAGTTTTTCTATTTTCTGTAACATCCCACATAAACGTCTCCAGACCAAAGAAATCATAATTTCTCGCTTTTACCGCCACTTTAACAAAAGAAGGATATCAAGGGTCCATAGCACTAGAACCCGTGTAAGTTAGTTTGGCATTATCATTTAATACTACGCTATAAGTATGGGTTCTTAATCATTAATCACATATCGCACAGGTACAGCAGCATGTAGCATTTCTCAGCTTCTTCTTTGTATTTCTCTGAGCTGAACTGGACCCTAGAGAAACTGCCCCTAAATGTCTATAAAAGAGTCAATCAACAGGGAATTCAAGATACTAGGACATATGCCCTACCAACTTTGGACTACGTATTGTTCCGTAGGAACAAATACCCCTCGTGACCAATCTTTCGACGGAATTGTCTCTTAATTGAATGAGAGGGATCCATGAGAATCTTGTTGAAAGCTGCGCAAAATTCTCTTTTGGAGAACTGGGTAGATATCGAAGAAGAGAGATAATGCATACCAACAGACAACTTACTACAAATAACCGACTTGAATACTATCACATAAGAATGACTAAGTATTACGATAACTCATTTCCCTAAAAACTAAATATGTCTCATTTTCCCCTTCAAGATTCTCTTTAAGATTGCGTTATCATCAAAACTAATAATACATTTGTGTGTAACATACTACAGGATTAAGACTTCAACATGTAAGTTAGACTTGATCTATTACAATTTCAATTTTGACAATTGAAAACCTTCTAAAATAAAAATAACACAAAGTATTACGAGCTCTCCTTCCTTACTGAGGAGTTCCTGTGAGAGCCCGGATCCTACACTCCGTCTAAGGGCAAGAACGAAACGGAACTAGGCAACTTCTTTTATCAAATTGATTTTGTACACAAATACTACTACACATTGTACACTTTAGTGTACTACTTTTTCTATTACTCTAGCTGCCTTTCTCCAGATTGCTTAATATACGTCAGATCAATTTTTCCAAAAATTTCTAAAGCTATCGACCCCATATTTTTGAGATCTAGCCACTCTACTAGCCAATACAGCATAATTTGAAGAGTTGGTAAATACGTTCGAAGCAAGAAGTTTTGAAAATGAGAATAACAAGCTGAATATTTTTAAATTAGTGGATGGTGTTAATTACACCTACGCTTTCATTTTTGCAATAACTCTAATCTTCTCAGATCACAGCACAAATGAAAAAATACTTCTGTCCCACTGTGTAAATTCTTGAATTCATTCCGATCCATCAGATCAAATAAACACTATCACGGTGACATTCTACAAGTGTGCCACCCGAATCATATTAGGAAAAAGATTCTAACTACTCTCAAGGCTCAGTTTATATCGGCAGCATCTAAGAAATGTAAATATAGCAGAAAATGCAAAATACTTTGGAAGGTTCAAATCCATCTGCTCCCAACAAAATATTGCAAACGGTTACGGCTTATTCTGCAGGTAATAAAATTAGAGTTCCGAAAACAACTTGTATGAATCAAGCAACTTGAGGGAGCTTGATGCTAATTACAAGGGCGCTTTGAACAGATTAACAACTATTTAATCCAGCCTTGTCAAGGTGAACACAAAAATTTTTCATGCTTGCTTGATCCGTTACATTTAATCGAAAAAAAAAGACCGAAATGCAAAAGATCATGATAAGTCATACTGTATAGGGAATCACCTAATGGCAGAAATTTTATCGGCAGAAAACAAGGAGTTACTGGGGAGTCACAAATGTTATGCTGTTGAAAATTAATGTCTTAAAATATTTTTATAGCCCTATTTACCAAACTACTTTTTTCTAACGAACTTTCCATCTCGATACAGATTTTGCATATCATTGGAAAGCTCTCTCCATGTATTTTCTATTAGTGGTGGAATTAAGCTTTTATCTCACCTGTGAGAATTTTACCAACATTTTGCACACCCGCACTATCGGAATTTCATTGGTAACTACTATTTTACTTCAACAACCTAATAAAAGCGTAGGCCAAAAATGAAAAGCGTGAAAGCCAAAAATGTTGGCATCTAAAGTTTCGACACAATAAATTCGAACAGAGTATTTAAAACTTTTGAGCATAAAATGAAATGAAAGGCGTAATCATTACAAAAGCATGAAGAGCTCATGCAACGACTCTTGCAAAGAAAAACCAGAAATATATGTGGCAATGACAAGGGAACTTGATAGGATAAAGTTGCTATGAAAGCTACATACAAGATAATCCAAATTATGTCCCTATTGTTTCATCGATGATAACTCTCTTGCTTCAATATCCGTTTGAATTCAAAGTATGATTCTGTAGTAGGGCTAGCTCAAATGAGACTAGAGTGGAAATTATCAATCTGTCCTCATCATTGTGAATTAAGTAGGAAGCAACTGTGAAATGAAACATGTTGTTGGAGAAGATTTTTTCGAAAATCAGGATTGTTGTGAAACAAGATTTTTATTTTCAGCATACCTAATCCACTAGGTAACAATTCACCAGTTTTTCGAGCCTCAGATTGGTGAAACACTTCTTTAAAAAGCACTTGGAAAAAAAATATTACTGCGGTATATCTGGCGCAACTTATGGAAAGAAGCATTACAAGATAGAGTGCGAATTTTATAGAACTCAGCAACTCTGATTAAAGAAGCTTTTAAATTATTTGGTCCTCTTTTGGAGGTAAGGTGTGACCCCCACTGGCTACTCTTTTCCTAATCCTACCGTAATCTTATGGTAATAAAAGCCTCGCTCCATACTCCGAATTTGAGTTTAGGCCACCTCTAAGAAATGATGCCTTTGAAGCGAAAGGCACTGAAAAAAAAATCATGAAGGTCAAACAATAGTTAGGAATTGTGGGATCCTTGCATGCGAATTTAGGTAGGCAAAAAGTTGGATCTGATTGCGTCAAATAGTAATTTGAAAAAGCGCTTTTGTAACAACGGGTCGACTCACATTACTCCCTTTGAACGACACAATACTCTAGAAGATGTTAATCTTAGACTTGGATATTTCAGTTGCTTGGAATGCATATACTATCTTCCTGATTGAAGGAAAGGCAGATGAACTCTCAAATCAAGGAACGCACATTAGACGCAGATGTTACAAAGGCTGATCTCCGGAATGCTCCCTGGAATGCTAGAGGCGGAGATGGGGAGAAAGAACAGCATACGGGCTAACATGAGTTTATATTTGAACTGATTTATACAGGTGATGCTATGCGTACCTATTTTTGTTAAATATAATTCTTGAGGCTGCGTCCAGAATTGCTTTGTGTTGGCACAGATCCGACATTGTGCTGCCAGCGCCGTTCCAACACCGTTCCAGCGCAGTGGGTTAAGCCCCGTGGACGCACTAGTTGTGATCGAGCGTCCTTCATTGGCACAGTTCCGTAGCGACGTTGGGAGGGGGAGGGTACCATAACCCTAGGCCTGAAGCTTACTCGTGGAATCTGGCATATTGCCAAGTCATGGAATTGCGAGAGGAATGCTTTGGCCTAAAGGAAAGTTATCAGCCGCAGCGATAACGGATGGTGATGTACGTTCCTAATAAATCCTAAAAAACTGTTCAAAATTCTCTTCTAATCTGCAGGACCACTTCAAAAAAGCTATGAAGCTTGCAAACGGAGGTTTCTTAGATCTCAGCGTAGAAATGGCAACTGAAACACATACTGGGATATTTGCGACAGGTAACGATG